CCAAGGACATGGTTTTTTAAAAAATATTTTTATTTAAAAATTTTTTTAAAAAAATATACGTATGTATTGATTTAAGAGATGAAAGAAGAGGGAGAGAGAGATAGAAACATCAATGATGAGAGAGAATCATAGATCGGCTGCCTCCTGCACGCCCCACACTGGGGATCAAGCCCACAACTCAGGCATGTGCCCTGACCGGGAATCGAACCATGACCTCCTGGGTCATAGGCCAACGCTCAACCGCTGAGCCATGCTGGCCGGGCTATATGTGACTTTTTTAATTAGAAAAAAATACTCCTTCAGGGAAAATTAGAGATCTTATCGTGTTTCCGATCCTTTACTTCCGAGAGTCCCACCCACCTTTTACAGAATTTCTGTGTACTGAGCCAGTAGAGTGAGTTCATGGTCGTCACTGACTGGCCTTTCTTGTACAGGATGCCCTGGAGGCTGTGTCCATGGAAACAGGTTCCTCCGGTGCCTTCTTCAGTCCAGTTGAACTGAAAACTTGAAGGGCTTTTTTTGGGAGCAGTTGGTGTTGAGTCAACCAGTGTGCTAAACTGTTTTTGTAGATTCACCACCATCTCTGGAAATGGAGGAAAAGGAAAGAAATAAAACTAATGTTAAATTCCAATAAAATCTGTAGTTCACTTGATAGTAATGCACCAATGTTGGTTTCTTAGTATGACAGATGCATCGTCAATAACATTAGGGGAAACTGAAAGTGGGTGAGGGGTGTAGGGGAACTTCTTAAAAAGGCTGAGATGTTAAATTTTATTCTATGTTTTACCACATTTATGAGTAAGACAACCTGAGGCAATTCTCCACACAGAGTTCTGGAAGCCATAGGAAGAGTGTTTAGATTTGGCGGGAGCCTCTGCTATTTGGGGAAGTAGCTTCCTGGGGGATTTCCTGCGGGGGGGTCCTGCGGGGGGCGGGGGTGATGTGGCCCTGGGGTCCCAAGAAGAATGTTGCGCACTCACTTTCCCAGCCAGGACCCAGGCATTAATGAGAGAAAAGGCAGCTCACCCCTTCGCTTATACACCACTGATCTGTCGATGGGCGAGTGGTAGAGTGGCTTCTCGCTTTTCCACACGAACCTGTGCGGGGCAGAAACACCGCTGGAGCAGGAGGAGAAAGGGCCGCACCCCATGCCAGAGCGCGGCTCTGAGGAGGGCCTGCAACACCTGCACTTCGGGGTGAAAGCTCTGCCTCAGGCGCCCCCTGACACAGGCTGCAGAGCGACGCCCTGCAGAGTGAAAGCGCCCAGCCCGGTGCACAGAACAAGCCCCAGCAGCTGTGCTCCTCCCAAGAGCCTCCAGGGCCAGAGACCCCAACCTCCCAATGACACGCAGAAGTGGAGGCGGTCCCACGCCAGGAAGTGCCCGCTGCTTATCCCAGGGAGTGAAGCCGGCTGGCCCTGAGCGGAGGGTGAAGTCAGTGGTCCTGATTCGGATGCACAGACGCGCCTGGAGGCCAAGCCTACCCTGGTGAGGAGGGGGGGGGGGTCTGGGTTCCAGCAGACAGTCCTACCAGCCCCTGCGCTCACCCTCGGCACCTAGGCAGCCTAGTAAAGTGGAGGTACCGCAGTGCTCCCCCAAATACACACAGCGTCCCCTCCAGAGCAAAGACCCAGGGCGTGTGGGCCCTCCCGGGTGGGGGGCAGCCCAGGCAGGAGGCAGGGGCGACAGGCTCCATTCCGAGCTCTTCCCTACAGTGGACGGTTCTCCTGATTCACAGCAGGAAGAGACCTGCCTCCTTCGCGCCCAGGCCACGTTCTTACTCTGAGACAGTGTGGCAGCAGGCAGGGGCCCGGGCTCTGCCACTTCCCACGCGTGACCGCAGGAGTCACATGTGACAGATGCTGGAGTTCCAAAGGCAGAGCCCGTCTCCTTCCCGGGCCCCCCAGGCTGCGGGAACGGCACGTGGTGAGGACTCATTTAAGTGTCTGGTGAAGAATGACTGGACGAATAAATGAACAAACCAAGAGACTCAACATCTCCAAGTCTGCCCGCCTTCACGGGTTGTTGTGAGGAAAAACCAAGGCCGTGCTGTAACCCTGCACCGTTGTAGGAAGTAGTTCCTACCCAGGGCTGACCAAGTGTCTGGCTAGTAGACACTCAAGAAATATCTGTGGATTTTCTACCAAAAAAAGCTGATAAGGAGTAGAGAGTCAGAAACGGAGTTACATTTACGAGAAACTCAATCACAGCGCACGGAGGCCACGGGGTTCAGCAACTTGCCCGCGGGCACAGAGCGAGGCTGCCCACAGGCAGGGCCCCCAGCGCGGCGGGCTCCCCCCCGCCCCCTTCATCACAGGGCCCCTCCTCGGCACAGCATTCAACGCCAGGGAGACAGACCGAAGCGGAGGCCCTTCTGCCTCCCTTTGCTGTGTGTTGGAGGGATCTCTATTTTAGGAGAACTTTCCAATTAAAGAAAAAGGTTATTAGAAAATAGCGGCTAATATTTCCAGAACAGAAGCGTGACAACGCTGATGAATCCATACTGATGACCCTTCGTCTTCCAAATGTAAAGCAGCAGACTTGGAAAGAAGTAGGTGAATCTAAAACTAGCAGAGATGACCTACTTTGCCCTGGCTTCCTCCCATTTTTGTTTTTTCTCATCAAAAGACTTCTTCATAACTTGGTACCATTTTCTGAAATCAAAACATGGCTTATCTGAAAAAAAAATCCATGATAATCAAATTAGTCACATTATAATAATATACATTATTCATCTGAATCTTCATTCGCTGACATAATTAAACATCTATACAACAGCACTTGGAAATTACTGATAGAGTCAATTTTCTGGACTCTATTCGAGTCCTGAGCAATAGTCACTCCTCCTCTGAGTTTCTACAGATGTCGTAGCCCCAACTAGATGCCATGGAAACTGCCTTTTGTGTGTCTGTTTCTCCTAGATTGGGCTACTACCTCCCTGAGGACACAAGACATATTCTGTTTCCACTACCCACCAGGCCTCTTCCTCCCCGCCCAGTGCCCAGCGCAGGGCCTGCACACAGCTGCCCTGTGTCTGAGACCACACGAGGAAGGGACTGACGGCCACTCCACGTGTGGAAGGGCACGACAGCAGCTGAATCCAGAACCTCCGGTTTCATCAGCTCCCACTCCTGTTCTTCCTACTCCGATTCCAAACCCAGAGCTTCGGGGTAAGTGGGCAAGCGGACCGCCCCGCACAGCTGGCGTGTGTTCGGGATGTCAAGGTTAGAGCTGTCAGAGCTGCACGGAGTCCAGCTCAGCCACCCAGCGCTCTTCATTCACTCTACCTGGGGGGTGGGACGAGCAGGGAGGGGAAATGAAAGGAAAGGAAAAGCAGAAAAGAGGATCCGCGTGAGGGAGTTAGAGGAAAGGAAGGCTGACAGGAGGAGGAAGAGGCTGCGTAAGTCTAGTTTTCCATGTTCTCTCATGAAGACAGTCTCCCTCCAGGTCTAGTTACAATTCTTTTCAACTGGCCTAGATGGTCATCACTCAATCCCACAGGCCTTGGAGGCCACACGGCCACCGAGGAGCGGCAACTAGCAAAGAGCTACAGACAGAGGGGCACCTGTCAACAGAACACCAGGCCCTTTGACCCTAAGCAGTCACAGCTTCTCTAAGGGCAAGTTCACTGATGACATAGGGACGGTGGGCAGCAGAGCAGAAGAATGAAGACGACCCTGCCCGCTGACAGCTCAGGTTCAGGGTCAGAGGAGGTAACATGTCCGAGTGCTCTGCCTGCTCCACACGGCTCCACAGGCTGGGGCGGCCCTGCAGCCGGGAGGGCGCCAGGAGCCGGCCTGGCCATGGCCACCCCTTCACTCTGTGCGGGACCAATGTGAGGCGGTCGCTGAGCGAAGCACTTGCATGTGCTCTGGAGTCACACACAAACCAATGGCCAAGCATGTGGAATCGTAGGAAAGTGAAGCTCGTAGAAGAGTGAGAGGTGGTCGCTAGGGCTGGGGCGGGGGATCGGGACAGCTGGTCACAGGCACAGACTTTCAGCTCTAAGATGAACAAGGTCTGAGGATCCGATAGAAAGGCAGTGACTGCAGTTGTAACACTGTATAGTATAGTTGACATTTGCTAAGAAAGTTAAACTTCAATGTTTTCACACACACACACACACACACACACACACACACGTTACATACGTGCGGGCATGAGTGTGTTAGCTGACTGGACGGCAGGAAGCCTTTCACATGGACACGCATCAAAGCACAAATGGACACTTTCAATGTCTTATATGTCAGCTATTCCTCAATAAAACTGACAATTCAGGAAGGACAACACACATGAATCCTAGTGAGGACACCGAGAAACTGGGATTGCGTGTAAGAGTTCACGTATTTATCACGTTACTGAGTCTCTTCGGCCAGTCACCATGGAGGGAGCACAGATCCGTTTCTTCTAAAACAGTAGGAGGGAGATGGCCCCGCCCTCTCGCCGCTCCCCACCTACTTGTCTGCTGTGATGTATGCACTACCTATTGTACGTCAAACAGGCTGCCACGCACTTTACAAATACGGACAATCTACTAGGGACAGACATGCTCGGTCCACGGGCGGTCACTCAATGGGCTAAACATCTAACGGAAGTTGGACGGGAGTGGCTGTGGCAGGAGCGATTAGTCCTGATTTGGAAAAGGGGATGGGGAGCAGGTGAGAAGAGAAGGTGTTACCGTGCACCTTGAAGAGTGCAGAGGGACTTGCCAGGGCTGGAGGGCGGGGGGGCTGGGGGGACAGGGGGAAAAGGGAAGAGCACTTCAGGTAGGAGAACCAGAGTGAGCAAAGGCTGAAGGCATCGGAACAGCCGGCCCAGTCATAACACTGCCCGGAGGTTCACTGCCTAGCGTGGCTGCAAGCTGGCCTCTGCACACAGTAGGAGGGCACTGACGTTCTCCATAGCCGAGAGCTATAATCAGATAACTATGTGAAAGAAGAATCCGGTACAATAAATCCCCACATTTATTGATCCTTTAACCCGCTGCTTATCTTTGAATCTGACTGATAAAAAAAGCAAGTACCTTCTTTGTTCTCTTCGTTGTATGTCTCAGCAATAGCAGACAAAGACCTGGAGACACCAACAAACAAGTCAATTTCTGTAGAAATCCCTCATCTGAAGAGTGAAATTTTGAATTCTTCGGAAAGAAAAGTACAGGCAGCCCTTGACACTGAGGCGACCTCAGTGGAGAAGCCCTCCCTGACGCAGGGAGGACACCACAAATGCTGCCACTCCCTGCTGGTCTCCGGGAGGGTCTCATTTTACAGTTCCTTTACTTCCCAAAGGGTCTGAGACGCACAGTGCCCCGAGCCGCAGGCATGCAGATGGAGGTGAATGATTCTCTAGGGCTGTGAAGGTTAAAACTCAGGAGCCAGTGGAACAATGAGAAACGTGTATCTACCCAGAAACTAGAAATAAAACACGATACAAAAAACGTACTAAACACACGCACATGAGGTCAGGATGACACCTGCCAACCGGCCGTCACTCCGGCGCTGGAGGAAGTGCGCTGCCGGCCCTGCCCAGAACCGCCGAGCTCGCTCTCCACGGGGAGCGCAGGGCGTCCCTCCCTCCGATGAGGTACAACAGCAGTTTCCCCGAGACAACCGACACACTCACCATTCTACGTTGTCGTCCAACAAGAAGAGCAGCTTCAGCACTATCACAATGACGGCCACCGCCTGCACGTCGTACCTCACAGTCCTTCCCTTCCTGGCTATGGGGTCAAAGGTCAGGAAGTCCACCTCCCCGATGCCAGCCATCTTGACCACCTGGCAGGTGAAATCGGACATCTCGTCTGTGGAAGGAAAGACAGTGCGATAGGAAACAACAAAAACACCAACATGTGTGTCCAGACGACGAGCTTTATCTTCAAACATCGTGCTGCCCGGCCGGCGGGGCTCAGTGGTTGAGCGTTCACCTATGGGCCAGGAGGTCACGGTTTGATTCCCAGTCAGGGCACATGCTTGGGTTATAGAGGCATAGTCTCTTCTCACATAATTTAGAAATGGGAACCATATTATTATTATAAAGAATGACATTTCTTGAAAACTATTTACTTTATTTTAAATTAATATCTTGAACTGCTTCTCTTACCAAAAGTACAGGAGGGCACTGACGTACAGGCAAATGGGCCCTGGCCAGCAGGGCTCAGGGCTCAGGGCTGGGGCGTCAGCCTGTGCACCCAAGGGTCTCGGGTCTGATTCCAGGTCAAGGGCACGTGCCTGATTGCAGGTTCAGTGCCCAGCCCCGGGCTGGGGCGCATGCAGGAGGCAACCATTCGACGTGTCTCTCTCACATCAATGTTTCTCTCTCTCTCTCTCTCTCTCTCATCCTCCCCTCCTCCTTTCCACTATCTCTGAAAATCAATGGAAAACAAATATCTTGGGTGAAGATTAAAAAAAAAGAAGAAGAAAATGGAAGAAATCATGAGAAAGGAAGAGCGGGGGAAACTGAGGCGTGCGGGCTCGGACCCAGAGCACAGCGTGGTGGACACTGGCTTGGGACGTGAAGACTGGGTGCCAGCGTGTCCTCTGCTGCCGCCAGCCAGGCCCGGAGCCTCGCTAGCTCTCATGCTATTGAGGCACTGCACGTGGAAGTAGAGGAAACGCTCAAGTTCCCCACAAAACACATACATGACGGTGAAAGCTGCCAGGAATTCTCTGGAGCAGGCACCCGGCCCGGTATGAGGAACAAGACCAGAAAATGGGGTTGGAGCTCATTCAGAGCCGGCAGAGCCAGTGCTGACTCAGCAGGGCGTGTGCGCCAGAGGACACCTCCCTGCTGCTCCGAGACCACGGGTCACACGGGCGGGCTCTGGGGCGGGCACTGCTGGCAGCGAGCTGACCACTGCGCTCAGCTCCTGGGCACTCGCGAGGGCCCCCAACATCCCAGAGTCTCCCCACAATCCCATGGGTGGTGTGCAAACCAAGGCTCTAACCCCCGAGGTGCAGGGGGAGCACATCTTAATTTGTAGGTCATCTGTTTGTTGTTTCCCCCACTACTAACCATACAACCTCAATACAGGACATTCATAAGACACGGGAAGGTAGAAGGAAGGAAAACACATAACCATAACCTAGAATAGCACTGTAATAGTTGGCACATTTACTCCTAATATTTTTATGAATACTTTCATGTTATGTAGCTGTGGTGATGTTACATATAATTTTGTAATTTGGGTCATTTCACTTTTTTATTGTATCACAAACATTTTATTGTAACACAAAAAGCTTAAATTATTTTTGTTCCTTTAAAAATATTTTTAAATTACAGACTTAATGTTTATACTTGTGTATATGTTACTAATTATATTTAAATTATAATTAAAATACTGTACACAGTTTCACAAGCTGCTTTTCTCATATGTCTCTTTTCCTTGTCTATTAAAAATATACTCGGTCACAACTTTGATACTCGAAGCAATAGTATAGTCACCCCACGTTTACATTTTCTCCTAAAAATAAAAGTCCTGAACTTCTCACATTTCTAGTTCAGCCAGAAATTCAAGAAGGACTCTGTGGGCAGCCTGTGCCGAGCGGTGAGCGAGTCTACGCGGCCCTGCGTCCTGGTGTGGCTGCCTCCACGAGCTCACGTGCTCCAGCCACTTGGGGCGCCACTTGTTTTAGGGATGGGAAGTAGCATTAGGTTTCCAAACCATAAACATGTCGTCTAATAAAAATTAGCTTCTGGGTTTTTTTAAAATTAGGGTTCCTTATGCAATAATCCTGCTTCATGCACAGGAAGAAGTGCTGCTCTGGGGGCAGCAGGCCTGGGTAACACGCCGGAAGCGTCTGTCCCGTTACCTGCACGCAGCGAACCGACTGTAAACCCACTGTGTGCTCTCAGCACAGCCCTCGCCCCGCAGAGCTCTTCACTCCCGAGCAGCGCTCTGCCGCTGGGCCAGGTGGTCTGAGATGCCCTGGGAAGGGCTGTGAAATGAAGTTCCTGTTGCGACGGCCCTGCCAGGTGGCTCTGCGGGTCTGGGACCTGCGAGGACGCCCCATTGTGCTCACCAGGGTTCTAGAAGCTTCTCACCACCGATACCCTTTCTTACCGGGAAGGTTGACTTCCATCAGGTACTTCCGACACAGGATGTTGGGGTGGAGGTAGCAGTCCTCCGTGATGGCCGGGAAGCGAGGCAGGTCCAGGAAGGTGGCGACGTCAATCATCTGCCTGTAGACATCCTCGTAGCTGGGCCACGACTGAAACAAAGTCCAGCAGCAGTTTCCACACGTGAGTGAGTGTTAAAGCGTTTTCCGACCTAACGTCTCATGTCCTCACTGAGCGAGGCTGGGGATGTGGAGGAAAGCACGAGGGAGAACACGCCCACATCCCACTATCCTCGCTCAGCGCTTTAGACGGTAGTAACACTGAATAAAAAGGGCGCTGAGGTTCGATTTGGCTCTAAGACTCTTCCTGGGCGATGTGGTGAAAGCCTAACTTCCTGCCAATCACAGAGGAATCGGGGTACAGACGACGCTGCCGGGTCGGACCCCTTGGAACAACGTGTGGTCAGACCCGCTCTAACGCAGGCACCGCCTCACTAACCTTCCAGCTCACAGCTAACACGCAGAGGTCATGTTACATCCCATTCACGTGCTTCCACGGGACTCACACGGATGCTGGACCCCATGTTCACAGCAGCATTACCCGTGAGAGCCAAAGGTGAACAGCGAAGTGTCCAGGAATGACTGGCTCCCCAGACGGGCCTGTCCATACCACAGGCTACGCGTCAGCCTTAAACAGGCCGCACGGTGAGCCTCCCGTTGGGAAGATGGGAAGGCCTGCAGGTGGACGGTGGTGATGGCGCAACGTAAATGCATTTAATGCTACTGAACTGCACACTTCAACATGGTTTAAGTGGTAAATGCCATGTCATGTATATTTTACCACAATGTTAAGAAAGTATAAAAAAGGAAGCTAAACATCACCTAAAGGAAAATAATAAGCTAAAGATGTAAAAAATGCAAAGTACATAAATTCTACAAACATCTTAGCAAGAGAGACATACACCTGGGGGAGTCAATGATTAAACCGTAACTGTTACACATACAGTATCAGGTATAGCGAGTGCCTTGCCCACAGACCAAACACGCTGAGCACGAAGCAGTGCGCACGCGCGCCGGGCCTCTTGCTCAGGGTTCGCTGCCCAGAGGCCGTGCCGGGGACACTGGCGCTCAGGATGAGGCTGGCGGCGATCTAGTGCCTCAGACGAGGGAGCCCCGCCACTTCGGTTCCAGGGAGACACCGGGAGGACCAGCCACCTCCTGCCTCCGATATCACTTGAAATGGTGGCCCAACTGTCCCTGCACATCTGCTCCGACTCCCGCTGAGCCAGGCCGATCGGGGGCCGGCCTTGCACGCTCAGCAGGTACCTAACTTGGCAGAGGCCGAGAGCACCGTCCGCAGTGCTGTTCTAGAGGCGCAGCCCACAGTGAACCGTGTTTGCTTCTGTCCCACTGGCCTTGCCCAGGGAGGCGAGTCAGGCTCTAATTCTGACCAGATTCTAACACATGGAAAACTATCGTGATAATTACAGCAAACGCTTAATGATTGCGTTAGACTGATCTTATTTTGACTTTTAGAAAATGTGTTCGTGCATAGACCATGAAAGGGAAGGGCCTCATAAAAGCTGCCAGGTAGTCACACCACATTTTCACTGGGAATCTCTGATGGATTAAGAATGAGAGGCCGACCAGAATCCTGGGATAACAAGGTAGAATGGCACCTGTTCTACACTGGACTTTGGTTACCTGCTAATTAGTCTAATTCTACCTCAAATATTTTGTGGAATGAGCTGGAAAAATAAGAGGTAGAGAGATAAGACTGGTCTGTCCTGCTCAAAGCACCCTCTCTGTCAGAATCCTTTGCAAGATGCTTGTTAAAAAGGCGCCTTCCCTCCTGGCTGGGGTTGGTCAGTGGTTAGAGTGTCAGCCCTCGGACGGAAGGGTCGCGGGTTCGATTCCTGGCCAAGGGCATGCACCTGGGTTGCAGGTTCAATCCCTGGCCCTGGTTGGGGCAGGTGTGGGAGGCAACCAATAGATGTTTCTCTCTCTCTCCCTTACCTCCCTTCCTCCCTCCCTCCCACTCTCTCTGAAAATTCAATAGAAAATCAAATACACATTCCTAGACCCCACACCAGACTTACTGCAGAACCTGACAGTGGGTCTAAGAATCGGGGCTTAGACAAGCTCTCCAGGATATTCTCACGCAAAATAAACGAAGTGAAATGAAGCACAGTGTTTCCCAACCTCGTCCCTGCCGCCTGAGGAGACCCTCTCACGGTTTACCCACAGCCTGACGACAGAGCTGCACCCACACATTCCAGGGGTGGGTGCGACGCTGTGGGAGGCCGGAGGAAAGGAAACATCAGCTGGTTTCTCCTCCTGGGCCTGGCAGGAGGGAGGTGTGGGGGCGAGGGACTGACAACACCTGCTACCCTGACACTCACCTCGATTCCTCCCAGGAGGACCTCCAGCCTGTCCGAGTGTCACCCTAACAGGCTGCACAAACTACCCCCGGAGCTAGTGTGGCCTACAGAGCTACACGGTGAGCAAATGGGAGATTGTCCTGAAACTCATCCTGGAAGTGACTGACGGCCCGAAGACTTTTCCCTGTCAGTCAGCAGGGACCCAGTTTCACCTGGGCGAGACTGCTCCGGGCGGAGTGAGTCATCCTGGCAGCGTGCCCTCGGTGGGGCTGGCTGAACCAGAGTGACATCTTTTCTTTTTACTCATTCAGAGAGATCAGAATGTTGTTGATCAACATTCAAAATCCTGGAGCAGTGCTGGGGGGACTCCCAGCCCCTCCCCTGGGGAGCGGGAGGGGTGACGGCAGGACGGCCTCCTGCGAGGCCTGGGAAACACTGCCAGGGACCACGCAGAGCCCTGCTACAAAGGATCTGTGCAGAAATTGGTCTGTGGGTTGAGAACATACAAAAATGAAGCAAATCAAGGCTGAAAAGACAGAAGCAGCGCCAGTGACAGGAAATGCTGCGTCTGTGGTAGAGACCAGTGTCCGGGCAGCAGTGACTGGATATTTGGTGCCTGCATAGGCAGGGTGTCCCCGAAAGAGACCAGATGTTCAGTTCTTTCCACCAGAAGAACTACAAGATTTTTGCTGGAAGAAAATGATGCTTCGAATCAGTACCATACTCCAGAAACTTGAGTCAAAAATAAAACAGCAGATGAGGCAAAGGCAGATAAAGAAGGAGGTTGTCTTCAGATTAAGTCAAAAACAAAAACAAAAAAGACAGAAAGAACGGCTACCGACCTGGAGTTGGGAACCACAAAGAAAAACACCAAACTTAATTAGCACACCTGCCCGCCCTGCGCTTTGCTCTCGGCCGAAAAGGAAAACAAACCCCCATCTCTGCACTCTGTACGCAGGCCCGGGTCTGAGGGAGCCTTGTCAGCTGTTTTCACCGGGACAGAGGGGCCCACTTAAATACGAACAGAGCAGCTTAATGGAAAGAAACAGTCCACGGGGGATGAAGGTTTAAGGGTCTTTAAAGCGCTCTCTCTTTTTCTGGCTTGTTTTTTAAGGTGTGCTCGACTTGCTGGAATAACAAAAACAAACTAAAACCAAACACAGAAGAAAAACAGTCCCAGCAGCCCACACACACACTCCCGGCATCATCTCCGCCGCCAGCGCCAGAACAATCGCACCTTTTGTCATTGCTGGTGGAGGCACAGCTGCCGAGGGAGCCAGGCCGGGGAGAACGCGGAGGCATGGAAGGAGGGAGAAAAGCGTCCTTTGTTAGCGAAAAGCGTTTCCATTTAAAAGTTTCAACACACTGTGGAAGAGTGAACGCACTTCTGCGAGCAAAGGCACAGCATGCGACGAGGAAAAGCTGCCTGTCGATTACATAAACTGTCATTTGAACGTGCGAACCTCCCCCCTTTTTCCTGAAAACCGAGGGGACAGGCAGGAGGGACTGTGGACTCTAACTAGCTGAGGCTGAAGAGGAGCCTACAGGGTACATACAGCCCTAGCCGGTTTGGCTCAGTGGTTAGAGTGTGGGCCTGCGGACCGTAGGTCCCGGGTTCCATTCCGGTCAAGGGCACGTACCTCGGTTGCAGGCTCCTCCCCAGCCTGGGCCCTGATGGGGCCTCATGCAGGAGGCAACCAATCCATGTTTCTCTCACGTTGATATTTCTCTCTGTCTTTCCCTTTCTCTTCCACTCTCTCTAAAAATCAGCGCAAAAATATCCTCAGGTGAGGATTAAAAAAATGTAACAAAAAAACAAAGGGTACGTACATACAGAAAATATGACACACTGGGCTTGAGTGGTACAGATTCATTTCATAACAAAAGTGAAAAACCACACGGTTATATTTTCTGAAAGACCACGAGGCTATGACGAATTGTCCTCGCACGCATTCGAAACGAGTGCTTGGGAAAGCTTTTTATTGAATTTCACAAATATTTCAGCGCATTTATTTTCCTTCGTGAAGCAATGCCCTACGACAGGTCAGGACACGCTGGAGTTTCTGTTGCACAACAGCGGCCCTGTGATACCCGACTGCAATGCTGTCAGAGGTGAGCGCCTGCGGAGCCTCACCCTTCACTCACTGTTCTTCTGCAGCAAAGATGCGGCTGAGAAGCTAATGCTACCGGCACCTGCTAATCCGAACGTAAAGCCAGACTTTGTGTCCCAGAGCACAGCCAACAAGGAAGAAAAGCCGGGTCAGCAGTGATGACAAAGCTCTGCTCTGCGCTGTGTGGAGGGAGGGTATGAATTCCACACGCATTGTGAACCTCCGCAGTGCACCTCGCCTTTTCAGCCGCTAGGATTACCTTAATGGTTGTAAACCTACCAGTCGTCACAAAAAATACTTTTCTATGTCAAAGTCTAGTCTGCGGGGCGTCTGTGGCAAGCATATTGCTTTCTGTGAAATACAGTCTTGGTCCTGGCGGTGAGTTTAGAAATGGTGTTGGCTGCACAGACACATCTTATGAATAAACACAAATGTATGGCCCTGACCGGTTTGGCTCAGTGGCTAGAGCGTCGGCCTGCGGACTGGGGGGTCCCAGGTTAGATTCTAGTCAAGGGCATGTACCTTGGTTGCGGGCATGTCCCCAGTGGGGGGTGTGCAGGAGGCAGCTGATCGATGTTTCTCTCTCATTGATGTTTCTAACTCTCTATCCCTCTCCCTTTCTTTCTGTAAAAAATCAATAAAATATATTTAAAAAATAAAA